CCCTTTGGGCCTTCCACATGGACAAGTACCCTCGCGGGTCACACACACACTCAAACCGACAAGCACTCAGACAGGCATCCAGACCAGCAAGCACGCACAAATGGGAAACTCAGCAAGGCATGCGTTCCATTGGCAAAACTCAGAAATCAGCTGTGTGTCTCAGTCCATGTTTGACAGGTCCTAACACTACCCCCTCTCAAAAGCGAGGTCCCTTCGAGCGAGTACCTCATTCTGAGTCCTCGACAAACGCGTTGTAAGTGAACGTAGCGGAAGAGATTCCGTGAGTACTCGATAGCAGTGAGTTTTGCAGAGATTTTGGGAACAGCAGCGGAAGCTATCTGTCGTTTGTATGCTTTCACAACGCATAGAGATCCAACCGAGGTCGTCCAACGAGTGATACATGAAATGAACCTGATACTGTCTTTTATATCCTTCCCCGATGTGACTTTTAATTCTATCCATCTCATGATCGCCATTGATTCCACGAGGGATCATGTCCTCACAATATTTGAAGGTTTTAGCATCGGGATATATAAAAAACTTCGACGCGTGAAAGACTGGGTACGTGCGTAGATGAGGAGGCACAACAATTACGTATGAAGGACAAAACTTATCATCACCAATCACGTCCAGAACTTCCCACGGCTATGAATCCCCCGCGGCCGCGGGCACGACCGCGGTCTGCGGTCGAGGCCGCGGGCCCGCGGTCATGACCGCGGCGACCGCGGAATGCCGCGGCCCGCAGCGGCCGAGGGGAGAGGAGGTTGGGGGTGGGGGTTTCGGATTGGGGTTCCGGAACCCCGACCCTACCCCCTCGAACAAAAAAAAGTAAAAAAAAATAATTTTCGGGGGGGTTCTTTTTGGTGTGTGGAATTAAAAAAAAAAAAAATAGAAAAATAAATAAATACCGGTGGGCGATTGGTTTTTGATTGATTGATTGATTGATTGATTGATTGATTGATTGATTGATTGATTGATTGGTTGGTTGGTTGATTGATTGATTGAATGATTGATTGATTGGTTGATTGATTGATTGATTGATTGATTGATTGGTTGATTGATTGATTGATTGATTGATTGGTGGGGAAGGTCCTCTCCACCCTCCCCCCGCCACACACACACACACCAACGCCCACACACACACACACACACGCATGCACAAACATGAGCACACTTACACGCACACACACAAACATACACGAGCACACACACACACACACACACACACACACACACACACACACACACGCACACACATATCCAGGTCAGAAGGAAGCTGAGAGACTCTGAAGACTGCTCGGACAATGAAAAGAGGGTGATGACGGGCGCTACCGCGATGGATCCTACTAACGTTTAAAATTAACCATTCACTAGGCACAATAGGAATGTTGGGATTCGAGCCCCTAATCTGGCATGCATAATAAGGCATAGGGCGTCACCACACACCACTCAGATGGAAGCATGGGAGGACTGGAGATGACGGGAGAATCCTCTGTGGGTCCCAGTGATAAGAAGAAACAGCTCTCTGACAGTTGCGTAGGATTCGATCCCTTAGTCTGCCTCACGTAATAAAGGGTACCCTCTGTGCGCTGCTCACACACAGTTTTTGTTTTTTTTTCCGTTGTCCTTCTTTTTCTTCTTTTCTTCTTTTCTTCTTTTCTTCTTTTTCCGTCCCCCCTTTTTTTCTTTTTCCTTTCTTTTCCTTTTCTCTCTTTTTTTCTTCTTTTCTCTTTTTCTTTTTTCTTTTTTCTTGTCTTCTTTCTTCTGGTTCTTTTTCGTTTTGTTTACTCTGTTCCTTTTGGACTCCTCCCCCTTTTTTCCCCGCACTTCTTCATTTCGTCGTTTTCCGAAGGGAATGATGTGACGGGTTACGGAACAGGGTCAAGCAAAAAAAAAATTCCCCCTTTTTTTCTTTTCTTTTTTCTTTTTTTGTTTTTCTTCTTTTTTTTGTTTCTCTATTTCTTTTCGGTTTCCTTTCTTCTTTTTGGTTCTTTTTCGTTTTGTTTGCTCTTTTCATTTTTTACGCCTCCGCTTTTTCCCGCACTTCTTCATTTCGTCATTTTCCGAGGGGTATGATATGACGGGTTACGGACCAGGGGCAAGCGCTAGTTTAGGATTCCTCTGAACCAGGCGGCTAGGTACGGCTACATTCAATTTTAGCTCGAGTCTCGAAGATACTGTGGCCGAACACTTCGAGCATTCCAGACTTGGCGCCAGCAGTAAACTTCAGGCCCGATCGGACCAGCAGATCGAGCGGTACTTAAGCAGGATAGCTTGGCCACAAAGAGTACTTTCAAACAGTTTGCACAAGGCCATCTGGAGCAGCCGATGACCGGTTTTCTGTCGAGACGCCTGACCAAGGATTTCGCATCGGTTTTCTCTGCGAAGACTGCCTCGGCAGTTTTCTGTACCGAGTGGCAGTGGGACGGACATAGGCTCGGAGATGGACTTCCACTTCGATCCAGACAGCGAGGAGGACTTCATCGGCACTCAGGAAGGGGTACTGTAGCCGCATCGCCATGAAGCCCACTGGACTGGACCCGCTTGCGCTCCTCGCTCTGCTCTGCGCTATCGCCCTATGTCTAGCACTCGTGCCCAACGTCCTCATCGGCGCGCTGCTCTGTTGGGCCTGTAGGACCGAGTGCATGATGCTCGCAAGCTCGCGCCGCTTCGCTGCTCTCATCTACGCCACAACATTCTTCTTCGCTGCCCTCAGCGCGGTTTGCACGATTGCGCTCATCGTAGCAGCACTCCTCCTGCACGACCTGATAGCGTAACCCGCCGTCCGCGCGTGCTGCTCTCGCAACCCTCCCCCCCTCCCCCCCTCC